TATGGATAGTTTTTATTTTTTACAACAACAAGCTGCAATGAAAACAAGCAGAAATGAAATAAAAGTAACAACTTTATACTTCTTGTCTTTTTTATAAAATGTAAGAAGTAGAAGTAAAAAGTTAGTTAAGTACAGATACCCAAAAATTCTACTTAAGTACAGTAAAAAAGTATTTGTAGTTAGTAAATTTACAACTCTGCAAATGACAAAATGACCCAGAGCGGTGTCTTGTTATCATAGATCTATGCTCTGCAGCTGAGGCGCGGTCATGTGACCCAGACTTGTCCAACTCACTTCCGGTTTCTGCGTGCAAAAAGTTGGGTAAAATCTGGAAGAAGTTTAGCTCTGCAGGAACTTTGAACGCTGCGTTTTAAGAATAAATCGCTACATTAGTCGGTTTGGGGAGAAGCAGAGCAGTTTTCCTGTCAGAGAGTTGATCAGAAGATCAGTCATGTCCACGGCAGCTCTGTACAACGACCAGGGAGCAGCAGAGGCTGCGGTGGAAGCGGGGCAGGAGACCACCCCGACCTCCTCCAGCTCCGGAGCCGCCTTCGGCCTTTTCAGCACCGACTTCAAAAAGTGAGTTCTCTTCTTGTTTTCGTCGACATTATTTTCTGTTAAAACACACAACTTTACTGCGCGTCTCCTGCTGTAGAAAGACCAGCAGCAGCAGCAGCACGGTGAAGGAAGTGTTGCTGTTGTGTTGCTGCTCAGTTTGTGTTCATTAAACCGAGTTGTGACAAACCCAGGTGGTTTATATGAACACAAACATGTAACAGCCTCTAAACCAGGCCTTCTTCACCTTTCTGACCTCAGGGCCCAATTTATTGAACATAAAGAGACACGAGGCCCAGTCACACATTACCAATGTATGGATCAAATGATAATTATTATAAATGTAAAGCTTGGTTTAATTTTTGATTGTATTTACATCATAACTAAACTATCATAACTAACATAACTAAATTAAATACACTTACAGTTTAAAAGTAAAACTCCTGTCAAATAATCACAA